TGATCACTGAGATTTGAACTCAGGGCCTTAGATTTGTTCAGCTGGTACTCTACCACTTGAGCCATACCTCTGGTCGCACACTTCTAATTCTGCTAAAACCAAGGCTATAGCCCTCTCCACAGAGTGCAACTGAGTGGCAGCACACTGGGTGGAAAAAGTCCTGGTGAAAGGCGAGGCCGCATGAGGCTTATTCATAACGCTTGGTTTTTAGTGTTTTCCTTTGGCCTCTTGCCGTGAGTGACTGACCAGGGACACGGATGGCGCTGTATGGCGAGCATCTACCATTAACTTCTCACCAGCCAGGGTTTTGTTTGTTTTGTTAGTCATAGGGCATGAACTCTGGGCTGGGTGCTGTCCCTCAGCTCCTTAGCTCAAGGCGAGCGCTCCACCACTTGAACCACAGCACCACTTCCGGCTTTTTCTGTTTATGTGGTACTGAGGAATTGAACCCAGGACTTCATGCATGCTAGGGGAGCACTCTACCACTGAGCCACCTTCCCATCCCACCAGCCAAGGTTTTAAGTTCATGTACTTAGATGAATAACCTTGTGAATTACTGAACATACGCAGAACATAATGCTTTAAAAATTTCCCAGTTAGTGGTAGCAGTGTGCCCAGGAAAGGAAGCATGAGGCTAAGACCTAGAAGAAACATCAGCTCTAAGGCACATTGCCTTGACTCATTAGGCGCCACATTTAAGTGGCCTAGACAAACTCAAACCAGTGTTGTTTTTGTTTTACATATTAAAATGATAACCTATAATACCTTATGATAAAAAGAAAAACCAGATCAGAACAGTCAAAACTCTTAATTGATTCCAAAGTAGTGATCTCAAAATTTTGGAGCATGTCATAGCTACTACAAGCTTAGTAGAAACACAGGCCAGGTGCCCTGCTTGCCATTTGAGAAAAGTCCCAAGGGCCCGCCTGGGGTCCTGTTCTCTAGGTCAGGCCTCCCATCCACTCGTGTAAACAATCACAGAGGTGAAGAGCCACTGGCTGGTGCAGGCTCCTAGTTTTTACAGAGGTTGGTATAATAGTGATGGGATTGCCCTATCTGTTCAAAAAAAGAAATAGGCACTTGGGCTTCATGGCTAGAGGAAGAAAGGATTTGTTTTCCTCTGCATGTGTTAGGGTTCCCCCAAAGCAGCTGAGTGCATTCACAGTTTTAAATCTTTCCTGCTGGGGATCTGATTTTCTTCTAAATAGAGACAGTGCCTAAGTATACAGTCATAAGGAAGTAAAAGGCAGTCTTTAGAACTTGGCCGACATTGGTCTGGGAAGGTGGCTCAGTGGTAGAGTGCTTGCCTTGCATGCATGGGTTCGATTCCTCAGCACCACATAAGCAGGGGGAAAAAAAGCCGGAAGTGGTGCTGTGGCTCAAGTGGTAGTGTGCTAGCCTTGAGCCGAAGAGCCGAGGGACAGCGCCCAGGCCCCATGACCGGACTCCCCCCCCCCTGCACCCCCCCCCCAAAAAAAAGAACTTGGCCAACGTGTTTTCATCCTAACAGGATTATGTTTTCAGACACGTCTTCAAATAGTGCATTTGCATAAACATCTGTGTCCATGTCTAAATCTCTTCATGAGAAGTAATTGGATGACATTCTCATTTGGACATTTTCCAAATAATCAGATAATACTATTGTACTATAAAGAAAACAGCCTTTAGACTCTGTATTTACTGTGTCTCTGAAAGTTTCTTTTTTGTACTGGTCCTGGGTTTGAACTCAGGGCCTAGGTGCTGTCCCTGAGCTTTTTTGCTCAAGGATAGTGCTCTATCACTTGAGCCATGTGAGAAAAAACTTGTCTTTTCTATCAAAGTGGATTTCTTTTCTTTTTTTTTGTCATTCGTTTGGGGCTTGAACTCTGGGCTTGGGCACTGTCCCTGAGCTCTTCAGCTCAAGGCAAGCGCTCTACGACTTGACCACAGTGCACTTCCAGTTTTCTAGTGTTTTTTATTGGAGATAAGAGTCTCATGGACTTTCCTGCCTGGGCTGGCTTTGAACCATGATCTTCAGATCTCAGCCTCTTGAGTAGATAGGATTACAGGCGTGAGCCACTGGCAGCTCAAAGTGGATTTCTTACAGCTACATTTCCAGCTTTTTTAGTTGTTAATGGAGATAAGAGTTTCACAGATTTTCTTGCCTAGGTTGGCTACAACTCATGATCCTCAGATTTGAGTCTTATGTAGCTAAGATTACCAGTGCCTGGCCTCAAAGCATAGTTTTTTCATGGAATGCCATGCTGCACTAATGGATTTTAGAAAAAGAATTTTCTATGTATAAAAACAACCACACAAAACAACAAACTGTGTGGAAGGCTAAATTGCTAAGACAATGACTAGGCCTTTTAAGCCATGACCATAAAATTGTCCAGTGTCCAAGTGAAGATTACAGTCAACGTCATGTTTCTAAAAAAGCTCACACTTTTCATTTGTAGGTATTTACAGTATAGCTCACTGTTGGAGATGAACTCTGAGAGGCTGAAGCTTTAAGACGCCAGCATAGCAGGGCGCCAGTGTCTCAAGCCTGTAATCCTAGCTACACAGGAGGCTGAGATCTGAGGATTACAGTTCAAGGCCAGCCTGGGCAGAAAAGTCTGTGAGACTTTTTTTTTTTTGGTCGGTCGTGGGGCTTGAACTCTGGGCCTGGACGCTGTCCCTCACCTCAGCTCTTCAGCTCGAAGGCAAGCACACTACCACTTGAGCTACAGCGCCACTTGTGGTTTTCTGGTGGTTTATTGGAAATAGGAGTCTCAGGGTCTTTCCTGCCTGGGTTGGCTTTGAACCACGATCCTCAGATCTCAGCCTCCTGAGTAGCTAGGATTAAAGGTGTGAGCCACCGGTGCCTGGCTGTCTGTGAGACTCTTATCTCTAATAAATCACTAGAAAATCGGAAGTGATGCTATGGCTCAAGTGGTAGAACACTAGCCTTGAACTGAAAAGCTGAGGGACAGTGCCCAAGCCCAGAGACCAACCCCCCCCAGAAAACAACAACAACAAAAACAACAGCATACAGCTGCTGCCAAAGAAACACCATTTCGTAATTTCCAGACTACCTTTTCCTAGGGAAGGAGGGCGTGCAGGATGAGCCACTTTAAACAGTGTGTTGAGAGACACTGGTTAGCCTGATGGCCTCCTTGCTGACCTGTGCGTTTTGACTGCCCGGATCCTGTGCTACCAGGGACAGATGCTTATTAGGGACCCTCAGCCTCACTGAAGCAGTGGCACCAGTCTCGGGCCCTGACCTCGGATGATCTGCAGAGTGGTCAGAAAAAAGTGAAAACATATTTTTCTCCTGACAAGGTTGTTCAGATTGCCCAAATGATAGGTTTTTAGATGGGACCATGTCAAGTGAGTGTTATTATATTGATTATAATCTCTTGGTCAGAAGAGCTGGCTTTCAGTTAAAAGGCATAAGAAAGTACTGCATGCACGCACGCACGCACACACGCACACACACACACACACACACACACTACTAGGTAATAGTAGTCCAAACAAGAGCTCACGCAGGGGAAGTTAAAACCAAGGTGTGTCTGGTGACAGTCCTGAGGCTTGAACTCAGGGCCTGGGCACTGTCCCTCAGCTTCTTTTGCTCAAGTCTAGCACTCTGCCACTTGAGTTGCAGCACCACTTCTTTCTGGCTTTGTCTATGTATAGAACCCAGGGCTTCATGTGTGCTAGGCAAGCACTCTACCACTAAGCCTCATTCCCAGGCCTGACCACTCTCTTTGTATATGAAAATGGAATTCATTTTCCTAACATTGTAATGCCAAGGATGGAGCTATCTGGATCTTTTCTGGACCTCATCTGACTTTTCCAAACAACCTGTCTACCACTGTATCAGTGATTTTATCCCTTCCCTACCACACTCCACCCCTTTCTTTTGTGATTCTTTTGAGTATTTTATGTTCTCTGTACTCCTCTGGGTAGGAATTGTGTCCTCAAGTGTAGCAAAGTACTTTGCATCCAGTTAGTGCTTTATAATAAATGTATTGTTCATTAATTTTTTTTTTTTTTGTCAATTGTGGGTCTTGAACTCTGGGCCTGGGCACAGTCCTTGAGCTCTTCTGCCCAAAGCTAATGCTCTACTGCTTGAACCACAGCACCACTTCCGGTTTTCTGATAGTTAATTGGAGATTAGAGTCTCATGGACTTTCCTGCCAGGGCTGGCTTTGAACCGTGATCCTCAGATCTCAGCCTCCTGAGTAGCTAGGATGACAGGTGTGAGTCACCAGCGCCGGCATTAAACTAATTTTAAGCATAAGCCAGCACAGCAAATGGTGACTGCAAAAGTTACATTGGTTAAATCTTCTCAGACAATCAAATAAATCTGGACAGTTATAAGGTTGTGGGCTTGAACTGTGGGCCTGGGCGCTGTCCCTCAGCTCTCAGCTCAAGACAAGCTCTCTACCACTTGAACCACAGCACTACTTCCACGGGATTTTTTTTTTTTTTTAGTCATGGAATTTTTGACAACTGTATTACATGATTTTCACTGATAATAATTGGTTTAAATTATTGCTCACTCTCTTATATGTTATATGTTGTTGCCTATGTATTAATATAGAGAAATTACAGAAGATCCTTGATTTTTCTGGTCTGACTCCTAACAATGAATTACTCGGTCCTTTTGTATAATACATTGCATGTCCAATTCATAGGAAGCATGCTTACGTTATTTACTTACTTTGTCGGTCATGGGGCTTGAACTGTTGAGGCCTGGGCGCTGTCTCTGAGCTTTTCTGCTCAAGGCTAGCGCTCTACCACTTTGAGCCACAGCGCCACTTCCAATTTTCTGGCGATTAATTGGAGATAAGAGTCTCATGGACTTTTCCTGCCTGAGATGGCTTTGAACCGTGGTCCTCAGATCTCAGCCTCCTGAGTAGTTAGGATTACAGACATGAGGCACTAGTGCCTGACATGTTAGTCCTTTTTATTCCATCATTCTCATATTAAACATTTGAGAGACTTTTTTTTGTGTTGATTCTGTTTTGCAGAAAGCATAACTCCTACTATTGAGCTAAATGCGCTGTGCATGAAACTGGAGAAAAAACCAATGTATAAGCCTGTTGATCCTTACTCTAGGATGCAGTCCACCTACAACTACAACATGAGAGGGGGTGCTTACCCCCCAAGGTAGGTGTGCTTTGGGTTTCTTGTAGAACATGGGAAAATATGCCTAACCTTTTTGTTTCTTTTTGTTCTGTTTATGTGGTACCAGGGAGTCAAATCCCCAGGGCCTTGCATGCTAGGCAAGGACTCCACCACTATACCACACTCCCAGCCAGTGTGCCTAATCTTTTACATGGAGTAATAAGTTGATAGCTGAGTAATGATCTGGTTTTCTCTGGACCTGCCAGGTGTGGATATGCGCTTGGCTGTGCCTTTGGGGACTGTCCTGGTTTAGCTCCTGCCTGGTTCCTCATAGGCAATATGGCTTGGGCCTCAAACAGTCTGGCTGCCTTTTTTCTCAGTATTAGCAGATTTTGTGATTATTGTTTATGGATCCTTTCTGATTGTTGAGCTTGCGTGCTTCGTAAATAATCTTGGTGGAGTAAAATGTTAATTGAATCTTTAAGATGCTATGTATTTCAATAAGATTCTGAATAGATTAAATGGAGTCTTCCTTTCCCCCTCTTTTCTCTCCTTTTCTTCCCTTCTTCCCTTTCCTCACCCTCCTTCCTCCCTATCCTCCATGGGGGTGGGAGGGTGTTTCAAAAATAGCAGTTTAGCAGCCTTAGAGAGCAGGCTCTGCCGGCTGTGGCTGTTGGGATTCCTTACCAGCAGTCGAGGTCCTTTCTGCAGACTTCAGCCTTTCCTCAGAGACGTGCAGTGCAACCGGAGCCTTGAGAAAGTCCTAGGACGGCGTGCCGGGAGTCAGTCTTAGCAAGCCCCGGTTAACACACCGAGGGCACGACGAGAGTGGCGCTGGGAGCTTGCCAGAGCACGCGTGGTGATGGGTGCTTTCCTAACCCGTTTATTTTCAGGTACTTCTACCCATTTCCAGTTCCACCTTTACTTTATCAAGTTGAACTTTCTGTGGGAGGACAGCAATTTAATGGGAAAGGGAAGACAAGACCGGCCTCAAAACATGATGCTGCTGCCAAAGCCGTGCGGGTCCTGCAGAGTGAGCCCCCGCCGGAGAGGCTAGAGGTGAGGGGCGTGCGCGCGCATGAATGTGTGCGCGCGTGCACGTGTGTGTGTGTGTGTGTGTGTGTGTGCGCGCACGACGAGCCCCCTGCCTGGAGGCTGGATGTGAGGGGTGCAGTGGGGGGCGGGGGGGCGGGGTCCTGCAGAGAGAGCCCCTGCCTGGAGGCTGGATGTGAGGGGTGCGGTGGGGGGCGGGGGGGCGGGGTCCTGCAGAGAGAGCCCCTGCCTGGAGGCTGGATGTGAGGGGTGCGGTGGGGGGCGGGGGGGCGGGGTCCTGCAGAGAGAGCCCCTGCCTGGAGGCTGGATGTGAGGGGTGCGGTGGGGGGCCGCCAAGGAATGGATTTGGTGTGTGTGTGTATAGAAGGCCTCGCCCAACAGGAGGTGTGTGGAGAGCTGCTCATTGCTCTCTTGCCTCCCTCCTCCTTTGTCCTTTCTAAGTCTTAGCATGAAAGTCAGAGGCCTTCTTTATCACTCTGTGGCAGTTTGGATGGATGACAGGTGTATGAACTGTTAGAAAGGACATGACGTCACTGACTTGTGAAGAACACGCAGTGAGTTCTTCGTGTGACAGGTCAGAGACATCTAGCCCTCTGTGCCCAGTGAGTGCTCCAGTGATGCAGTTGGTTAGCGGGTGGTGCCTGCACGCAGTCACAGTGGCAAACAAGGCTTAGCGATGCTTTCTACACCTATATGGCTTGCTCACGTGACTGGCTGTCAGCAAGGCACCATGCAGGCTGGGACTCACTTCCTCCTAGTGGCCCTCTGCAAGGACAGATTCAGCTTCCTGTGGTGTGCTGGCTGAGCTCCAGCAGTGAGGGCAGAGCCCAGCCTTCCATGGCTGAAGCCATGTTTCATAGGGCAAACAGGCACAGAGCCTAGATTCAAAGCAGGAGGTAGAAAGGCTTACCTTCTGTTTGTCTTCATTGAGAAAGATGTATATCATATCACATGAACTCACTAAAACAGTTTTAACGTGCAGCTCAGTGGCTTTTAGGATATTCATAATGTTGAGGACTTCTGTTGTTTCTGTTTTGTTTTGTTTTTTGTCTGTTTTTGTTGGTCGTGGGGCTTGAACTCTGGGCCTGGGCACTCTCCCTGTGCTCTTCAGCTCAAGGCGAGCGCTCTACCACTTGAGCCACAGCACCATTCCTGGTTTTCTAGTGGTTTATTGGAGATTAGAGTCTCATGGACTTTCCTGCCCAGGCTGGTTTTGAACCGAGATCCTCAAATCTCAGCTTCCTGAGCAGCTAGGACTACAGGCGTGAGCCACCAGTGCCTCTGTTTTGTTTTTTTTTTCCCCCATCCTTGGGCTTGAACTCATGCCCTGGGCACTGTCCCTGAGCCTCTTTGCGCATAAGGCTAGTGCTCTACCACTTGAGCCATAGAGCCACTTCCGGCTATTGGAGAGAGGAGTCTCATGGGGACTTTTCTGCCTGGGCTGGCTTCAGACCATAGTCCTCAGATCTCAGCCTCCTGAGTAGCTAGGGTTACAGGATGAGCCACCAGTGTCCGGCAGAACCCCACTTCTGGATGAAAGGAATTCCAGGGAATTTAGGATTGAGGATTTCTGTGTGTGTGCGTGTGTGTGCACACATGAGCTGTACACTGAGGACTAAACACAGTCTCTTTTGCACACCTGTGATGCATCCATACTGAGCCTGCACCCCTGGACCCTGTTTAAAACCATCATGTCGGTTGTGGGACTTGAACTTGTGGCCTGGTTGGGCGCTGTCCCTGAGCTTTTCACTCAGAGCTAGCACTGTACCACTTTGAGCCACAGTGCCACTTCTAGTTTTCTGCTGGCTAATTGGAGATGAAGAGTCTTGTGGATTTTCTTGCCCGAGCTGGCTTCAAACTGTGATCCTCAGAACTCAGCCTCCTGAGCTTATGGTGGGTTTTCAAGCTACACTCTGATCTAGCTATGTATGGGAATCTTTTTTGTGGGTTTTTTTTTTTTTTTTCCTTTGTCCTGGGGTTTGAACTCAGGGCCTGGGCACTGTCCCTCAGCTTCTTTTACTCGAGGCTAGCACTTTCCCACTTGAGCCACAGCACCTCTTCTGGCTTTTTGTGTGTATGTAGTACTGAGGAATTGAACCAGGGCTTCATGCATGCTAGGCAAGCACATTCCCAGCCCATATTTAATCTTTAATATCCAGTGAGACAGGACTGGGGATATGGCTCAAGTATTAAAGGTTTGCCTATTGAATGTGAGATTATGAGTTCCATCCCCAGTACTGATAAAAACAAAAAGCGTCCACTGAAGTCTAGTCTTGGAGCCTTTACACCGGGTCCTTGTGGGTCTGTAAGTCAAGATTTGGGTTTAAAAAAAATTTTTTTATAGCATCTGGGATGGTGATTGTTGATGGTTCTAATAAAAGCTAACACTTAAGTAATTCTCCTTTTAGATTAATGGAAGAGAATCCGAAGAAGAAAATCTCAATAAGTCTGAAATAAGTCAAGTATTTGAGATTGCACTTAAACGGAACTTACCTGTGAATTTCGAGGTAAGCTTATTTTACATCTAGGACTTCGTTTTTGGAATGTTAGGATTCATCGCAGGAGTGACTTTTCCTCAAGTGCCTTTGGAATAGTAACCACTGTGTGCGGCTTCCACGGCTAAGAGCAATGGTTAGGCTCTTCTTGGCCCGCCTGTGACCTTTCTGACCTGGGCAGTGACATGTTGTGCTTTTGTTCAGTGTTTGTTCCCCCAGAGAGGATTTGTTGTTTTCACCTGTCTGAAAAGCAGCTTTGGGGCAGACAGTTAAAGTAGGAAGGATTGATTGATTGATTGATTTTTTTGCCAGACATGGGCCTTGAATTCTGCTACTTGAGCCACAGTGCCACTTTTGGTTTTCTAGTGGTTTATTGTAGATAAGAGTCCCGAACTGGGCTGGGAAGGTGGCTCAGTGGTAGAGCGCTTGCCTTGCATGCCTGAGGCTCTGGGTTCTATTCCTCAGCACCACATTAAGTAAAAAGAAAAAGCCGGAAGTGGTGCTGTGGCTCAAGTGGTAGAGCGCTAGCCTTGAGCTGAAGAGCTGAGAAACAGCACCCAGGCCCAGAGTTCAGGTCCCACAACCGGACCCAAAAAAAAAAAGAGTCTCCTGCCGGGCGCTGGTGGCTCATGCCTGTTATCCTAGCTACTCAGGAGGCTGAGATCTGAGGATCGCAGTTCAAAGCCAGCCCGGACAGGAGAGACCGTGAGACTCCTATCTCCAATAAACCACCAGAAAACCGGAAGTGGCGCTGTAGCTCAAGTGGTAGAGCGCTCGCCTTGAGCTGAAGAGCTGAGGGACAGCGCCCAGGCCCAGAGTTCAAGCCCTACGACCGACAAAAAAAAAAGAGTCTCCTGAACTTACTTGCCCAGGCTGGTTTTGAACTGTGATCCTCAGATCTCAGCTTCCTGAGTTGCTAGGATGACAGGCATGAGCCACCAACGCCTGGCTAGGAGGAAGGATTTATTTGGCACCCATTTCAGAGGTCAGTAGATGTTTGGTTGACTCCTGTTGCCTTTTGAGCTTTGGCAAGGTAGAAATAGCATGGCTGAAGGGTGTGGGAACATGAGCTGCTCACTCTTAGTGGCCAGCAAGAGGCAGAGGCGGTGGAGGGACGCACAGAGGCCGTACCGTCCGCTCCGATGCCCTCCCATGCCCACTCACTGCTCTCCTGGCTTCTCCCCATCCAGTCAGCCTGGGTCCCGTTTATCCACTGCAGTGCTTCTCCTGGATCTTGTGGAATATTTTTAAAAAGGATTTAGGAGCCTTTCCGCTCAGTTTTGTTTTTTTTTTTTTGGCTGATCTAGGGGTTTGAACACTGGGCCTGGGCGCCGTCCCTCAGCTCTTTAGCTCAAGGCAAGCACTCTATAACTTGAGCCACAGCGCCACTTCTGGTTTTCTGGTGATTTATTGGAGATAAGAGTTTCCTGGGGGTTGGGGGTTTAGCCCAGCGGAAGGGCACCCCGCCCGGCGCGCGCAAGGCCCTGGGTTCGGTCCTCAGCCCTGGAAATAAAGAAAAAAAAAAAAAAAAAGAGTTTCCTGGAGGGCTGAGAAGGTGGCTCAGAGGTAGAGTGCTTGCCTTGCATGCCTGGGGCCCTGGGTTCGATTCCTCAGCACCACATAAGCAGAAAAAAAAAAGCCGGAAGTGGCGCTATGGCTCAAGTGGTAGAGCGCTAGCCTTGAGCTGAAGAGCTGAGGGACAGTGCCCAGGCCCAGAGTTCAGGCCCCACGACCAGACACCCCCCCCCAAAAAAAAAAAAAAAGTTTCCTGGACTTTCCTGCCTGCCCAGGCTGGTCTTGAATTGTGATCCTCAGATCTCAGCCTCCTGAGTAGCTAGGATTACAGACAGGAGCCACTGGCACCCAGCAAAGCTCACTTTTTTTATAATAGCTTCATTTGTTGGGGATTGGTTGTCTAATAAAAAGGATTAATGGATTATTTATTCAGAGTTGAAAATAAAGTACATTTACTAGGTTTTCTTCAACACAGCATTGTTAATCCAAATATGCTAGTGAGGTAAAGAAGAATAGTTTTTATCACATTCCAAATTCTTGGCAGAAATTTTCCCCATGCTTCATTATAGCATCTTTTATGTATTTATTTTTTTGTTTGTTCATGGGGCATGAACTCTGGTCTTGGGTGTTGTCCCTGAGCTCTTTCACTTGAGTCTAGTGCTCTACCACTTTGAGTCACAGTGCCACTTCTGGTTTTCCAGTGCTTAATTGGAGAAAAAAATCACACAGACTTTCCTGCCTAGGCTAATTTCTAACTGGATTCCTCAGATCTCAGCCTCCCGAGTAGCTAGGATTACAGATGTGTACTACTGATACCAGCTCTGTGTGTGTGTGTGTTGTGTGTTTGTGCGCGCACGCGTGCGTGCGTGTGCGTGCGTGCGCGTGCGCGCCATGCCTGAGCTGGAGCTCAGGACCTGGATACTGTCCTTGTGCTTTTTTTACTCAAGGCTAGTGCTCTACCTCTTGAACCACAGCTCCACTTTGGGCTTTTTATTTGTGGTGTTTAATTGGAGGTAAGAGTCTCACAGGCTTTCCTGCCTGGGTTGGCTTTGAACTGTGTTCTCAGATCTCAGCCTCCTGAGTAGCTAGGATTATAGGTATGAGTCACCAGCGGCTGGCTTTACAGAAGCATTTTTTTTTTTTTTGGTCTGGTCATGGGGCCTGAACTCTGGGCCTGGGCGCTGTCCCTCAGCTCTTCAGCTCAAGGCTAGCGCTCTACCACTTGAGCCACAGTGCCACTTCCGGCTTTTTTCTTTTTGCTTATGTGGTGCTGAGGAATCGAACCCAGGGCCTCATGCATGCAAGGCAAGCGCTCTACCACTGAGCCACCTTCCCAGCCCTACAGAAGCATTTTTTAAAGCCTGTGTGAAGGTGGTTATTTGTAAACATTTCACTTTTGCGGCTTTTCTCCAGTTACAGGTGGCCCCCATGTTTTGCGCTTGGCATGAAATACATACCTTCGTTCATCAAGTGTCAGTAGGCTAAGCCTGTCTGCACCTCCATCCTGCAGCCTGCCTGGACAAAGAGGGGCTCTGAGTCACCCTCAGGCCATGCTAAGGATTTTCATTTCCCCACCCCTGCCTGTCCCAGCGGGTGCGACCAGGTGGACAGTTCCCCCTTTTGGAGCACGGAGGCTCCTGGCCCTGCCTTTGTGCAGCCTTTCTCCTCCTGTTGGGGAGGCGGGTGTACCTGGGAGGAGAGCAAGCAGGGACCGACAAATGGCAGAACAAGTTGCTGAGTGGAAGCTTCTCTCAGAGAGTCAGTCACCTGTGGGCGGGTAGGCGGGCATCCTGGGGGCAGCTGCCCTGTGCCTTCCTGCCTGATCACGGTCCTGAGAAGCGGCGTTTCCACGAAGTCTGCCCCCAGGTGCCCACCTAGATCAGCCTGCAGTTCTGTGTGGCTGGGCCTCCCTGACGCCCCTGTTGGGACAGGCGTGGCCCGCACCCTGCTTGGCCCCTATTGCCCTGTGTAGCTGTTTCTTGGGCATACTTCTTTTTCCTGCCCAGATCTTCAACTTCTAATTTCCCAACGTAAGCAAAGGTTGCAAGAACTCAGATTCACTAGTGGCTGGGGTCAGACATCTTCCCTTTCTTCCTCTTTTCCATTGAAGGCAGAGATCCTTTTGGTCTCCATGTTTTCTTTTGCTCAGTCACTTCGATTGTGCTCTGGATGGTATTTTGGCATGTGTCTCTAGCAAGGACATTCTCCTGATAGTCCATTATTAAACACGGGACGCAGGCTCCTGTGGTCCTCAGGCTCCTGGGGTAGCTGTGTCGCCCTGCTCCGCAGTGTAGCCATGTCTTTGCTGTGAGCCGGTCCCAGCATCAGGCGGTAGCTTGCATTGTCTGATCTCCAGTCCTCAGCCTTCCTTTGTGTTTCATGGCATTGACAGACATGACGTTGACAACTGAGTTACAGATTCTGGTGGCTTATTCTTTGGCAGGGCCACAAAGGGAGCGATGTCCTCAGAGTACCACATGATGTCGCTCTGCTGGCACTGGTGACCTTGTGCTTATAAACTGGTATTGAACACTAGTATACTCCCCTAGATCAGGTCCTTGTTTCTTTTGTTTTTTTTGTCAGTTGTGGGACTTGAACTCGGGGTCTGGGTTCTGTCCCTCAGTTCTACCACTTGAGCCACAGCTCCACTTCTGGTTTTCTAGTGGTTTATTGCAGATAAAGAGTCTCGTGGACTTTCTTGCTCGGGCTGGCTTTGAACTGTGATCCTTAGATCTCAGCCTCCTGAGTGGCTAGGATGACAGGTGTGAGCCACCGGGTCCAGCTGGACCAGGTCTTTCTTCCCCATCATAATTCAGCAGACAGCTGCGGAGCCATGGGGGCCCTGCTCCCACTGATCCGTGCGTCTGGTTTGCCTCACTTGTCATGAGGAGAGTGGTTACAAGGACAGTCTTCTGCGTTCCACGCTGTCCTTGCACTGTCCCGCGAGTTTTCCTTTATTCATCTTATGTTGTGGTGCTGTGCTGACTCATAGCCATGTTACTGTCTTTTTTTTATTCCTGGTCCTAGGGCTTGAATTCAGGGCCTGTGCGCTGACCCTGAGCTTTTCTGAAAAGCTCAAGGCTAGCTTTTTTTTTTTTTTTTCCTGCCCATGCTGGTTTTGAATCACGATCCTCAGATCTCAGCCTCTTGAGTACCTGGGGTTACAAGTGTGAGCACTGGCGCCTGGCATGTTGGTTGCTGCCTTTTAACATTGAGTGTTGCTTCCTGATTACAATCAGAACTCGGGGCCTTGCCCCGGCTCAGCTTTCTTGCTCATAGCCAGAGCTCTGCCACTTGAGCCACTTCCAGCTTTTTGATAAAAATATGAGTCTCATGGGCTTTTCTTCCTGGACTTGCTTCACACCATGATCCTCATATCTCCTGAGTAGCTAGGATTATAGACGTGAACCACCAGGGCTTGGCCCTCTTTATTTTTTTTAACATGTAAAAGACTTGAGTGGCATCCACGCGGCTAAAGCCTGGCCTGTGCTCTGGTTCTCAGGTGTCTGCTGGCACTCCTGTCTACTGTGGGCGACTCACTTCATTGGTTTCCACGGTTTCCCTACCGAGGGTTGTTTTTTTTTTTTTTTTTTTTTTTGCCGATCATGGGACTTGAACTCTGGGCCTGGGTGCTCAAGATAAGCGCTCTACTGCTTGAGCCACAACACCATTTCCAGTTTTCTGAGTGGTTTACCAGAGATAAGAGTCTTATGGACTTTCCAGCCCAGGCTGGCTTTGAACTGTGATCCTCAGATCTCAGCCTCCTGAGTATCTGGAATTACAGTTGCTCCCACTGGTGCCCAGCTTTTTTTTTTTTTGCATAAGCATAGAAGTGTGTGTGTGTGTGTGAGAGAGAGAGAGAGAGAGAGATTGTCTGTACATTTGAATCCATTTGTAAGCCTTTTTTTCTTGCACACTTAAGTGGCCAACTGAGCTGCTGAAATTCACTCTACATTTGCTCCAGACTTAGAGAACTTTTACTTTTTCACAGCTGCATAGCCGCTCCTGCTTTATAAGCTTAGTCTGGCAAAGCTTCACAGCTGACAGCCTAAAGCGCGCTGCAGTTGCTCCCCTGTGCTGGGAGGGTGAACGGGAGCTGGGTGCCCAGGCCTCCCTGTCCATCCCTGCCTGTCTGGCCACCAGATTCCAGCGCGTAGAGCAGTTTAAAAAGCCGAAGGAAGGCAGCAGAGGTTCCCGAGTACTCACTCGCCTGCCTTACTCCCTACGTGTGTGCCTCCCGCACCGGGCTTCCCCCCACGCCCCGAGACCAGGCTTCCTGTGATGTGAGCGTGCCAACCAGTGTGTCCTGCCGCTTCTAACAAGTGTCTGTCACGCTTTCACTCAGTCTTTCCCTCTGCTACAGGTGGCCCGGGAGAGTGGCCCACCCCACATGAAGAGCTTTGTCACCAGGGTTTCGGTTGGGGAGTTTGTAGGGGAAGGTGAGGGCAAGAGCAAGAAGATCGCCAAGAAGAACGCGGCCAGAGCGGTGCTGGAGGAGCTCAAGAAGCTGCCGCCGCTGCCTGCAGTGGAGAGAGTGAAGCCCAGAATCAAAAAGAAAGCCAAAGCCCCGGGCAAGGTGAGGTCGGGGAATGGGAGGGGCCCCGGAGGACAGGAGGACCGAAGACTGCAGGCTCCCGCCGCCCTCCATCAGGGCTGCCACAGGCCTCTTCAGTGGTTTCTGGGTTTTAAGTTGCTCAGAAAGCTGGGAGCCCACTGGGCACAGCCAGCCTACCCTTCCACAGACTCCCTGCCCAGGCTTCAGCCACCTTGAATTTAATGTTGACACATGTCCAAAAGCCATATGTGTCAATGTTGGCTTGCTAAGATTTAGAACTACCTTGGGATCACCGTAGAAAATCCATGAGGCATCTTAGAGTTTTTTTTTTAGATCTGCTTAGCTGGGTGCCCATGGCTCACACCTGTCATCCCAGCTACTCAGGAAGCTAAGATCTGAGGATCACGGTTCAAAGCCAGCCAGGGCAGGAGAGTCCTTGAGACTCTGATCTCCAGCTAACCACCAAAAAAAAAATAAAAAGTAGAGCTGTGGTTCAAGTCAGAGAGTGCTAGCCTTGACCAAGAAAGCTCAGAGACAGCCCAGGTCCAGCAGGAGAGGGGAAAAAAAAGGTCTGGTTACCTCTGAGCCATGCCACGCCTGCAGCTCCTTTCCGTGAGTAACGCGGCACATTATTGCTCCTCAGTCACAGCCCAGCCCGGAATGCAGCCAGGGGATGAACCCCATCAGCAGGCTGGCCCAGATCCAGCAGGCCAAGAAGGAGAAGGAGCCGGAGTACGTTCTGCTCATGGAGCGGGGCCTCCCACGCCGCAGGGAGTTCGTGATGCAGGTGGGTCGGTCCTGTGGTGGGCAGCGTGTCCACCGTGTCGACTGAGGGGACGATGATTCTGTTCTTTTCAGAAGGCAAATTTCCCATCTCATTCCCGATGCCTTCCGGTTCCTGGGACGCTTAGTTTATCAGGTGTTAATTCCATGTAGATGTTTGGATTTAGCCATTTTAGGCCAGGTACAAGTGGCTCGTGCCAGTAATCCTAGCTACTCAGGAGGCTGAGATTGGGAGGACCTGGCTCTAGTCCAGGGCTGGAGGTGTGGCTCAGCGGCATAAGCGTCTGCCTGGCAGGTGTGGGGCCCAGAGCTCTAACCCCAGAATTGTCAAAGAAAAACTTGCCTTGAGAGCTTGCTTGGAGGATCTGGCAGGGAGTGCAGCGACGTGTGTACCCTGGACAAGACTAGTCCTTCTCTCTCTGTCTGGGGTGGCCATCCTTTCCGAGCACACAGCTTGGGGACAGATGCACATGGAGCGTCAGGAAGGAAGGGACAGCACCTAGCCACCAGATCAGCCAAATCGGCCCTGGTGACCAGTGGGTGACAGATGTGCAGCCAGATCGCCCTCACATCCAAACATTTTTCTTTAAACTTTTTTCTTGGGAAAAACAGAATTCAAGCCTTGCTCTGGTGGCTCACGCCTGTCATCCTAGCTACTCAGGAGGCTGAGGTCAGAGGATTGCAGTTCGAAGCCAGCCCAGGCAGGAAAGTCCGTGAGACTCTTATCTCCAATTAACCACCAGAAAACCAGAAGTGGTGCCGTGGCTCAAGTGGTAGAGTGTTCACCTTGAGCTGAAGAGCTCAGAGGCAGCACCAGACCCAGAGTTCAGGCCCCATGACCTAAAAACAAAACAAAAAAACAGAATTCAGTAGCCCTCTTCCCCCCTCCCCCTGAAGTTTTGCTCTCTGGATTTCATTTACCTACAATTACCTTTGGAAAATTCTGTGTATAAACTTTTTTTTGCGGGGGGCGGGGGGTCCAGTTGTGGGGCCTGAACTCTGGGCCTGGGCACTGTCCCTCAGCTCTCCAGCTCAAGGCTAGCACTCTACCACTTGAGCCACAGCGCCACTTCTGGCTTTTTTTTTTTTTTTCTGCTGCTTATGTGGTGCTGAGGAATCGAACCCAGGGCCTCGAGCATGCAAGGCAAGCGCTCTACCACTGAGCCACCTTCCAGCCCCTTTGGAAAATTCTAGAAGTAAATAGTTGGCTTTAAATTGCACATCCTTCTGAGTTGCATGTGAAATGTTGAGCCTCCCGCCGCATCTTGTGCCTGTGGGGTGTGCTGTCCAGCAGGTCCTTGCATGTGGCGGTCTGGAGTGCAGGGTGGACTGACACTCAAGCTGCTTTACAGAGAGCGAGGCCTTGGCCCTGTGGTTTCAGGATTTTCCTGGAGTGAACCTCAGCAGAGGAGAGGTGCTGCTGTTCAGAACTCCCCTGCAGTGGTTTGCAGCCTAAGAGCTGGCCCTGACCCGCTGTGTCTTGTCCCCAGTCAGGAGGCAAGGAGCGAGCAGCCTTCTCCGGAGCAAGTCGCCCTTTGCCGAGACTCCGCTCTTGGCTGTTCGCAGACCTGCCTGGGGCCCAGCCAGGCTTCCCTTTCTGCTTTAGCAGCCCCAGTGCTTGTGGTCGGGACCAGCTTAGAAGGGGTAGCCAAGTGTGCTGGACAAACTGGCCCTTAGGGGGGTGGCACGGCTTGAGGCAACATCTAGACACATGCGTGTTAGTTCCACCTCCACGGCTCGCTGCTGGACAGCTCCTGTGTGTGTGTCTGCCTTCGAGCGAGGCCCCGGCAGACGCTGTGAGCACAGATGCCCGCCCCAGCCTGCTGACGGTCGCTAAGTACAGAACATGGAGCTGGGGGGGCAGTCTGCCCCTTGCTTTCTCTGCCAAGTTGGAACGTGGTTTTTGAAGCTGGGCAGAAGTGTCTGTGTTTTGTACCAATTACAGGGCTCTGGGCATCGCGAAGTTTGAAGCTTAATCTGCATTCCTCACTTCCTCCTGTTCACAAGCTAACCAATGGCTGTGGTTCAGTTATTCCCACCCTGCCCACCTCTTTTTTGGAGGTGCTGGTGTTCAGACTTAAGGTCTAGCTTGCTCGCCACTTGAGCCACACAACACCCCTATCCCTTTTCCTTTCAGTTCGTTGTTTCTCACGTAGGATCGTAGTTTTCTTGGCCTTGTTCATCCTCTGGTGCCGGGATTACATTCATGCCAGCTCTTTCGTTGAGAGGGGGTTCTTTGTCTGGGATGGCTTGGAGCCATAACCCTCCAGTCTCTGTGTCTCTGCGTCAGCTGGCATGAAAACTGCCAGCCATTGTACCAGCCCACCACAGCCGATTTCAAGTTGGGAAAGTGGCATCTGTGACCCCAGTGGGGACGAGATGGGTGGCTCTCTGTCGTACTGGTACAGTCGGTGGACAGGGCAGCTCAGGCGTGCTGGACTCAGTACTAGTTATATCTGTGTTAAAATCATTGTATAAGCTTCGGTTTTCTTTTTTTTTGGTCGGTGGAGGGTCTTGAATTTTGGGTCTGGGCGCTGTCCCTCAGCTCTTCAGTTCAAGGTGAGTGCTCTACCACTTGAGCCATAGCACCACTTCGGTTTTCTGGTGGCTCATTGGAGATAAGAGTCTCACAAACTTTCTTGCCCCGGGTGGCTTTGAACTGGGATCCTCAGATCTCAGCCTCCTCCTGAGTAGCTAGGATGACAGGCGTGAGCCACCGGCACCTGGCAGGCTTAGGTATTTGATGGCTGTGTTTAACAGGAGCTCCCCAATATCTTGAGGGTTGTGTGGTTTCCTTTGCTTGGCCGGGCGGGTGTGTCTGAGGTGCGTCTAACCCCCCCCCCCCGAGGCCCCTGGTTCTTCTGCCAGCACCGGTGGAGGTGCGAGCTTGGTCTGTTGCTGCTCCCGCAGGTGAAGGTGGGCAACCACACCGCAGAGGGCGCGGGCACCAACAAGAAGGTGGCCAAACGCAACGCAGCGGAGAACATGCTGGAGATCCTGGGGTTCAAGGTCCCGCAGTCCCAGCCCACCAAGCCAGCGCTCAAGTCGGAGGAGAAGGTGACACTGGGCTCCGCTGTGACCTTGCGGGACAGCGCCCCTCCGGATGGCGCAGGCCCCAGGCCAGGCTCCACCCTCCTTCCCTTAAGAGCCTGGGCCTTGCTGGAGCGTGTCGGCGCCTCTCCATTTTGGTGGTCTCTGGGCTTGAGGTGTGAACGGGTGTCACTGTGACACAGCCCACAGCCACCTTGTCCTGGACAGGATCACGCTGTTACCCGTAGTTATCGCGGGCACTTGATTCCTCCCCCATGCGACGCGAACGCCAGGATGCAAATCCCGCACGCAGTGCGCACCTTGCGGTGCGGTATGGGTGGGAGGCCGAGGGGCTGTCCCGGTGGGACGGAGTCGGCGACGCCTGCTCAGCATGGGCTGCTCCCAGGGCCCAACTGCCACCCCGCAGGAGGGACGCCCCCCTTCGCTGGCTCCTGGGCCTCCTTGTCCTGCCTCTAGAGGTGTGGGCCCCCCCCCCCCCCCGCCCCCAGCGGACGCTGGCTTAGCCCTTACGAGCTCAGCTGCGTCGGTGGAGGGCAGGGTCCAGGGTCTGGTTTTAGGCAGTGGGGATGAGGATGTCAGCACGATTTGTAATCACGGCCTTTTCTCTTTCTCAAGACACCAGTAAAGAAACCAGGGGATGGACGAAAAGTAACCTTTTTTGAACCTGGGTCCGGGGAGGCGAACGGGACTAGTAAGTGTGTCGGGCTCGGCCAGTGCCTGGGGCTGCCGTGGGAACTGGGGCGGCGCCGGGCAGGGCAGGGCAGGGCCGGGCCGGGCAGGTGACGCTGCTCTCTGCCCAGGCCACCGCGAGGACGAGTTCAGGATGCCTTACCCCAGCCATCAGCAGCTGCCCGCCGGCATTCTCCCCATGGTGCCCGAGGTGGCCCAGGCTGTTGGAGTCAGCCAAGGACATCATACCAAAGATTACCCCAGGGCAGCCCCGAACCCTGCCAAGGCCACGGTAACTGCCATGATAGCCCGAGAGTTGTTGTACGGGGGCACCTCGCCCACAGCCGAGACCATTTTAAAGAATAACATCTCTTCAGGCCACGTACCCCACGGACCTCTCACAAGACCCTCTGAGCAGCTGGACTTCCTTTGCACAGTCCAGGGACTCCAGGTAAGGCGACCGAGCAGGGGCCCTGCTTTGAAGACCAGGGTCTCCACAGGGCTGGGGCTCCCGGGGCAGTGCTCACCCGCAGCCTGCAAGACAGCAGACCCGCACAGGGTCTCCCTCCAGGGCTGGGTGGGGCAGGGCTGGGCCACCGCAAGGACCACAGCCTGGACGCGGAAAAGCCTTGTGTCCTGGTAGCAACGTTTGCAAATTCCAACCAAGCCTGAAAACGCAGCTGCCGGCCACTGAGGACAGGGTCCCTGCGGGGCCTTTGCCCAGCCCTCACTGCCCTCCCCTCCCTCCTCTCCCCTCCCTCCTCTCCCCTCCCTCCTCTCCCCTCCCTCCTCTGTCCCCTGCAGCTTCCATCCAGGCCTCAATTCTCTTTTTCCCCTTTTAGGTTGAATACAAAGACTTCCCCAAAAACAACAAGAATGAATTTGTGTCTCTAATCAACTGTTCGTCCCAGCCGCCCCTGATCAGCCACGGCATCGGCAAGGACGTGGCGTCCTGCCATGACATGGTATGCGGCGCGGCCGGAGCTCGCCAGAGGGACGGGGGTCCTGTAGAGCTCGTGAGTGGCAGGAGAGGGGGTTCCGAGAAGTCCCTGTGGGTTGGGTGGGTTTCAGCTCTACCCGGCCCCTCCCTTCCCACGCTGGCCTCACTGTGGAGCGGCCCCGCCCCACGGCAGAGCCCCCGGATGGAAGCCAGCTCAGCCCAAGAGCGCGCGAGACTTTGGCTTGAAAGCAGGGTAGAAAATCTGTGGTCTGTTACAAAGGTGAACAATTCTCTAAAGAAATACATGCCAAAATCAGTAAGGGATGCCACATGGCGACTGCAGGCAGTTCTTTCAATGAGTATTTAAGCTGGGTTCAATAAACTATTCAGAAAAAGCTGGAATGGAGCTGCGGCTCAAGAGTGCGTTCACCTGAGCAAAAAGCTCAAGGACAGTGTGCAGGCCCTGAGTTCAAGCCCTAGGACTAAAGCAAAGGAAGGAATTGCATCTGCAGGCAGACACTGCCGCGCAGCCGCATGCGCGCGGCCGGGCCCGTGGTCACCGGTCTCTCCACCTCCGCCTCCCCTAGGCTGCGCTGAACATCTTGAAGTTGCTGTCCGAGCTGGACCAGCAGAGCCCCGAGGCGCAGAGGACGGGCAACGGGCCGCTGTCAGTGTGAGTGGCGGGCCCTCACCCCTGCTCTCAGTAGCTCAAATCTGAATGGTCCCAAAGGTACACAGTGACACCCCGCCCTGACGCCTGACGCCCTGTTCCCCTCGTGCGCCCCGACAGCGCCCTCCCTCCCCCCCACCCCCGCTTCCCGTCACCGCGACGACCCTGGGTGGCAGTGGGCTGTGTGACCGTGGCCCCTCCTTCACTGCAGGTCATTGTTGGTTTTTTCTTCTTCAAGGTGTGGGAGGTGCTGAACCTTTGCTGGCCACGAGCCACACAAAGCCCAAATAGACACTGAGAAGACCGAACCTGCTTTGAAAATATGGACTCTGATCTCTGCAGTGGTGAGGAGAGCGGGAGCAGCCGTGAAGACTGAGACGAAGACTGAGACGGAGGTAGAGGCCGGGAGCCCCGCTGCCCCGCCCGCCTGCCTGCCCCGCCCGCCCGCCCGCCCCTCCCCGCCACCTGGGCCCCAGAGCCTCCGTTCTGGCTTTTTGTTGGTTGTGTTGGTTGGTTGCTGTGTGAAGAAACAGAGTGTAGCCTTCAGTGGCTCACTCAGACATTTGGGACAATCCTGGACAGAGAGGCCTTACTCCTCCAGCCGAAAGTACCAGAGAAAATCAAATGCTTCCTGCTTGGTGTGGCCTAACTCTGGGGGACTCTGGCCCGCCGGCCCCGCCCACCACACCTCCCCACTGCTCTCTCCCACCAGTGATTCGTATTCTTGGTTTCCTTATTTCCTTTTTGATTGATAAGACACTATATAAACTTTTCATTTGAGTTTCTCAATTGTATCTAGTTCTATAGCACACTTTAGAACCTTGTCTGAGGCTGACGTGACCATAATCTAACCGGCAGAGATCGTAGCCAGTGTGACACACGTTTACCAGACTAACCCAGGACCAGCTCAGTGGTGCGAGTGGGAGCTGCCCACGGTGGTGGGCACCGCCAGTCCCGGGCCTCGGGGTCCGTGGAGTCCCCGACTGGTGCATGAATTGGACAGCATAGGAATTCTGAACTCATGATCACTTGCTCCTTTTCTATTTGATTTTGTTAATGCAGGACTTACACATGAATCTTTGTTTTAAAGATGATTAGCAAAGTTGTGTCTCCGCGTGGCTCTTGAGAAAGCCTTCCTGCGCTGCAGCCCTCAGCTCTGCCGGGGGAAGGCAGCAGCTGTGCACGCAGCTCTTGTGCGCAGGTGTATGTGTGTGTGTGTATGCGTGCGTGTGTGCAGGCCCCCGTGCAAGGTACAGTAGCCTTGCTAGTTAAGTACTACTTCTGCTCAGTTTATGCTGGAACTTTCTCTCCCCATGGAATGTAAGGAACACTTAAATGTTTGTCATCCACAAATGGTAATACTAAAAAAAAATTTTGTTAATTTATTTTCAAATGCCACTACTGCTAGGTTGATCCCTTCCAACCCAGCCCTCTCCCTTTTTTAAAGGAAAAAATTTGTAATGCTTGTGATTCCGTCTGGGCAATTATCTGAGGATCTGAAATAACTTTATATCAAACCATTGATCAATAAACAGCTACTAATGAAGCTTTCGGGCCTGTGAGCAGTAATTAAAGAAGGGGCTGAGGGTGAGGGGCGGGAGGGCGCCTGCGTCCTCACCTGACGTGAAGTTGCATGACCCAAGTGCTGCGGGTCAGGAAAAAGGCTGAGCATGGGAAGGGGGAGATTTGCGGCTGTTGTTTAGCGAGAAGGATGCTGGAGTTTGAGCGCTTGGGCTTCTCTAGCTGGCTTGTCAGGCTAGTGCTCTGCCTGAGCCACATTCCCAGTGTGGCTTTTTGCTGGAGATAGATGAGTCTTTGACTTCAAACCTGGATCCCCTCTGGATTTCAGCTTAAGTAGCTGGGATTGCAGGCCTGAGCCACTAGTAGTACTTAGCTGGCATTTTATGCCTTAAAACAGTAGGCATGGCTGTGTTAAGAGCACCTGCTTAGCAAGCAGAAGGCTCTGAGTTCAAATCCCAGTACTGGAAGAAAAAAGAAAAGAATGGGGGCCACTGATTCCCATCCAGGATGCTGCTGCAGATTTGAGGGGGAGCGGCGGCCGGAGGCACCCGTGCAGCCTGCATCAAGCACGTGAGGCCGCTGCCTTTGCAATCCACTCATGTGTTTCCCTTAGTATCTGCAGACTCAGACATTACAAATGAGCCCTTCTTTACCTTTTAAGAACTTTTGCAGTGGTTGCACAGCTTCAGTTTTGCCGGGATTGCGTGTGCGTTCTTGCCTTGTGTGTACCTGGCCTCTGTCCTTGAAACTTCACAATTCAGGGCGTGAACAGCCAGCCTGGCTCCTGAGCCCTCTGCTCTCAGCCTGCAGGAAGCAAGCACTGGCGCCTCCTTCCCTGTCCCAGTTCCTCATCCAGGTCACCATGACAGACATCAGACTGGGGCGGGGGTGGGGGGGAAATGACACAACTGTGGAGCTCCTCTGGCTCCCTTAGTGGGTGTGCAACTCCACTGTCCACACTGCCAGCCGTGAGCCTCTGTTGTCCATTAGCATTGGTTCCATGCTAGAGCTGTCACGGCTCCAGCTTTGTCTATTATTATTTCCTCCATTTAGAGTTGCCTTTAATGTTTCTATGGGTGTTGGGGCTGGGGGGAGGGGAGGAAGCGAGAGAACCCAGAGCCTTATCCAGGCTTGATAGGCTCTCCCCATGTGACAGCCTCAACCCTCTACTTCTATCTTCCAAGTTTTACAAAGAGTTCCAAACTAACATCCAGCAGCAATCCTGTTTGTTCTGCGCGCCCCATCCTATGTATTTCAGTGACCATCCCCCGCCATGCACCTGCCTTCCCTTCGCGGGGCCTCCCACAGGCTGCTTCAGCTTCTTGGAAGTAACTGTTAATTGAGTTACACCATACATAGAAGCTCTTTTTTTTTTTTTGAGAAGCACAATTTTTATGGCATCTCAAAACTACCTGTCTTTACCCAGGAAACTCCTGCTAACCAGATGTAGTAAAGCAGCTGCACTGTTTCTTCTGAGTTGAGTGTGTGTTGTCTTCAGGTCTTCTAATCATTGTAATTAGGGAACGGCCTATTGCTGTACACCTGGACAGCTTGCCCAGCATCATTGTTGAAGCTTGGTCCTGTCAACGGTGTGCACACCAGGGCTCAACTCCAGCTGCTCGTTGTTCCTGTTTGCCTTGTAGGTATGCTAGGAAATCTGAATAGGCCTTTTTCAAGGCTTTGACTGACTATTCTAGATCTATATGCAGTTCATGAATTTTTGCATTTCCGCCAAATGATCATTAGTCCATTTTTTGAGCCGTGACCTGACTTTCAACATCCAGATACCTTGAGTTCATCTCATTCTCCTCCTGAATTCACTTTTCCAGGGAGCCCTGGCTTCCAGCAGTGGCAGCCGGCATTTCGAGCACCATCCGGGCTCACTGATGAGGTGCTCAGGCCACCCACACTGCAGCCAGCAGGCCATGATTCTCCAGGCTCACCTCTGCTCATCTTATTGCCAATCCTAGACTCACTGCTCCATCTGAGAACTTCCACCCATGGCTGCGGGCTATGGCAGTGGACTGGACTACAGTTCTTTGAGATTTGAGACCGCCGATTCCAGGTTTCCCCTGTGCTCACTGTGCTGGGGAGCAGGGTGTGTGCTGCACTGTCACCTCCGTCTAGAGTGTAAGGAGGCTGCTAACACCTCCATCTGTTTTAAGGTCTTAAGGCCAGAATAACATACTTGAAATGTCCCAAATTCCTAGGCAGTTAATCACTGCTGGACTGGCAGCTACAGAAACTAGTAAGCCATCTTAACACAGCCTTTAGAAAGTATTCATGTGTAGGTTGTGTGTATGCGTGTGCGTGATGCTAAGGGATCTTGAACTCCGAGTCTTGCAATCTAGATAGGCATTTTGGCTCTTGGCATTTTGGCACGTGAGCCACAGCTCCATTTCTGGCTTTTTTACTGGCTAACTGGCGGTAACAATCTCAAAAGATTTGTCTTCTCTGGGTAAGCTTTGAACCTTGTCAGATCTCCGTAGCTAGTATTACAGGCATGAACTGCTGGTACTTGACTGCAAATTCAGTTGTGTATATGTGTATGTACGTGCGCGCATGTGTATGTGTGTGCATAACTGCTGGTACTGGGGCTTGAATTCAGGGCCTGGGTGCTGTCCCTGAGCTTTTTTTGCTTAGGGCTGGTACTCTTAGCACCTGAACCACAGCGCTATTTCCAGCATTTTGGTGGTTAACTAGAGGTAAGTCTCATGGACTCTTTTCTGATCTGGCTTTGAACCATGATCCTCTGCTGTCTGCCTTCTGAGTAGCTACGATTACAGGTGTGAGCCACTGGCAATATTCCTTTCATAAGACATATATTAAGGGGCTGGGAAGGTGGCTCAGTGGTAGAGCGCTTGCCTTGCATGCCTGAGGCCCTGGGTTTGATTCCTCAGCACCACATAAGCAAAAAGAAAAAAGCCGGAAGTGGCGCTGTGGCCCAAGTGGTAGAGCGCTAGCCTTGAGCTGAAGAGCTGAGGGACAGCACCCAGGCCCCAAGTTCAGGCCCCATGACCGGATCCAAAAAAAAAAAAAAAAAGACATATATTAAGGTCTTTAATTAACAAAGCAGCACAACCATTTTCCTGGGTTCATTGGTACTCTGTATGTATAGGTATTTGGTATATATATATATATTTTTTTGGGGGGTCTGTCTTGGGGCCTGAACTCTGGGCCTGGGCACTGTCCTGCAGCTCTTCAGCTCAAGGCTAGGGTTCTACCACTTGAGCCATAGTGCCACTTCCGGCTTTTTTCTTTTTGCTTATGTGGTGCTGAGGAATCAAACCCAGGGCCTCAGGCATGCAAGGCAAGCGCTCTACCACTGAGCCACCTTCCCAGCCCCGGATTTAGTATATTATAGAAAGCATATAACATAAGTTATAATTTGTCTTTGATACACCAAGTAATAAAGCATAGTTTTTGTTTACTGAGTAAATATTAATGTTCAAAAGCTTAAAAGCTTAAGAGCAAAAAACAAAACTGTATAGCAAAAATGTGCCTAACTTTTAGAGGGGGGGAAAAATAATGAACCAGTGTTTTGGGGTTTTTTGGGTCAATTGTGGGGCTTGAACTCTGGGCCTGGGCACTGTCCCTCAGCTCTTCAGCTCAAGGCTAGTGCTCTACTACTTGAGCCACAGTGCCACATTTGGTTTCCTGGTGGTTTTACTATAGGATTTAAGTCTGATGATCTTTCCTACGCAGGCTGGCTTTGAACTCTCATCCTCAGATCTCAGCCTCCTGAATAGCTAGGATTACAGGCAAGAGCCATCGACGCCCAGCGAACCAGTGTTTAAAATTTGCCAGGATTATAAATGAATTTTAATTTAGGTGTTTTGTTTACTTCCCATATTTTCAAAGAAAAATAAATTCCAAAGCAGCTTTCATTTTTTAGTGCTTATTCTTACAGGTTCTCTGTTC